TGACTGACTGACTGACTGACTGACTGACTGATTGACTGACTGACTGACTGACTGATTGACTGGCTGACTGACTGACTGATTGATTGACTGACTGACTGACTGACTGACTGACTGACTGACTGACTGACTGGCTGATCGACTGACTGATTGACTGACTGACTGACTGACTGACTGATTGACTGACTGATTGACTGACTGATTGACTGACTGACTGACTGACTGACTGGCTGATCGACTGACTGATTGACTGACTGACTGACTGACTGACTGGCTGATCGACTGACTGATTGACTGACTGACTGACTGACTGACTGACTGACTGGCTGATCGACTGACTGACTGACTGACCAACACATTCTCATCCCAAGGCGTCATCTAACTTTTGCCGACGTGCCGACGCACATGGTACCCTTTAAGCGTCAATATGAGACGCTCATCCTCGGGTGTCATCTAACTGACGCTTTTAACCATGCGTCTAAATCCGACGCACATGGCACCAGTGGCGTAACTATCGGTAAGCAGGGTACGCGGTTGCTTACGGGCCCGGACCAATCAGGGGCCCGCTTGACTGGAAGATAGTGATTGACAGCCGGGCCCCCTATCGCATATTACTACTTTTAGTTTGATCACATTTTACTTTATCACGATTTTGTTTTAAATAAATAATGACAACAACATATTTTACAGATCATTAAATACATGTGTGAAACGAACAATCATGGATTTTGGTGTAATTTGTTTTGAGCTGGGACTGGGGAATCCCCGGGTCGGCTGTTTAACGTTACACGCGCGCGCCACTTCATGCGTTTTCTCAGATCGGATAGCTACTGATTTATCAAAACGATTCCATTTACAGCTGGTCACATAAATGTGTTTTTGCAAAACAGATATAAATCCGATCTTCAATTTCCGCGCTATATGCAGATTTAATAGAGTTCACGTCACCGAAAGCAACAGATTGCTGCATTTTATTGATCATCAGCTAAAATTTCTAAATCGAAGACCGCAATTAGAGAGAGCGGCAACAGTACTGGTAAGATCATTTCGTTTCTTTACTTTTAATGAAGATGATTGTGTGTTAAGCGAGCGTCTGCGACTTACTTTCACTTTGATTTGCGATAGTTTGTGCGTTGGCTTGATGAATAGATGCTCATCTGCGGTGATGCGTGTTGTTGCAGAAGCGTCGTCATATCTGACTATGACATATAGCCTATAACACGCTCTCACACGTTTATTTTTTTTAGCATTTTTAGAGGAGTAAAATTGACAAATGTGGTTTCAACAACCAGATGTATTTACACTTGTCCAGTGTCGTCTGGAATGCGGCCCAGACCACCTCCTGAAGTGGTTTGAGCGACCGGATTCAAATCCGTCTCGAATGCGTTTCGAAGGGAATTTACACCTGGTCTTTTCACGATCGGATAGCTATACGATCACAGAAAAAGCATGAAGTGGCCAGGTGTAAACAGTTCCTTGCGTATTGCATGCAAAAGCCTACTCGTGGACATTGCGTCATCACGTGTTGTAGTAGGGGGCCCGCCTTGATAATCCTGCATAAGGGCCCGGTGTTGGCTCGTTACGCCACTGCATGGCACCCTTTAGCGTCAGTTAGATGACGCTTCCGTTATGGGCAGGTTTAGGTCTGGGGTAGGGTTAGGGTTAGACCACTAGGAGGCGCGTCTCATATTGACGCTTAAGGGGTACCATGTGCGTCGGCATGTTGACGCATGGTCAAAAGCGTCAGTTAGATGACGCCTTGGGATGAGAACGGGCTGGACTGACTGACTGACTGACTGACTGATAAATGCAGACTCGTATCTGTGATGTGAATCTAGCTGTGAGGTATTTCTGCTGCTTGTTCAGAGATACACGAGTCATTCATCATCTCACGCTCATGTGAACAGCTGGTGATTGATCACAGAAATATACACTGTCTCTAGGTGATTCAGCTTCATTCTCTTCAGTAACCTTATTCTGTTTAAGTAGATTTGCATCGTATTAGACGTGCAGTACACCTGTCTTGTGCTCTATAAGTGTGTTTTAGGGTGAATATGTGTTTGTCTGTCTTTAGGGTGAATTTGTGTTTGTCTTTCTGTCAGTTCTCACACTGCATTAATGCTGTTTCTGCAGTATTGCTTTAGACCGCCAGGTGGCGCTTTAGATTGCTGCAATATCTGTTCAACTCAAATGACCAACACAGTTGCTTAGTGATGCCAACAGCTGATGCTTTTTTTGAGCCTGTCATGTCTTCATATTTGCATAGTTAAATCATCTCCAAACAACCAGCATATACAGTATATGACAGTCTTTTTTGTCTTGTTTTCTCATAAAGGTAATCCCAAAACAAAATTGCATGACACATAGAAGCTTATTTCAGTAGATATATCTCGAATGTAAGTGTATTTTAGGCTTTTGTTTTCATCTAAATGTGATGAAAAATGCATACTTAAAAGAATATGAAAAATGTTGCTATTTGGAGGTGGTGAAACATGTTTATATTCAAGATATGCTCTGTTCTTTTGCAATGCAGTTTTGCTTCTCATGAAACTATCTTTTCTTGAAGTTTGTTTTGTTATCGTCTTTCTGGAAATCAGGACACATATAGGCCCTAGTGATTAAGGGAAGAAATTATTTTTGAAGAAGGCATAACAACAAAGAAATTATGGAGAAAATGGTTTTAATTTATCATTTAATTGAGTATACAAATACATCTTTGTTGTTATGCCTAAAAGGCGCTATGCTCTAAAAAATGCTGGGTAGTTTCAACCCATGTTTGGGTCAAATATGTACAAACCCAACAGTTGGGTTTGTCTATATTTGACCCAAACATGCAGGTTGAAACAACCCAGCATTTTGTAGAGTGTATGAAACAAAAGAAACTCAATTCACTAATGAAATAATCCCGAACGTCTGGTTCATCATGTTGCTCAAATCATTCCATTTATTCCACACGCAAAAACATTTCAGTCAGCTTTCAGTTCTTGTCAAGTACAGTCTCTGACCTTGCGTCTCTCGCTGTTATTTGGCGTTTTGAACCCCATGTTTCGACTTGGCAACGGAGTGTCACTGCTAGCAAAGCCTGTGCCAACTCCAGTAGCTTGTGTTCTGCACCGGCCTCGCTGTTTTACTCTTCAGTTTCTGCCAAGCTCACAATGACCAGCACGACTTAGAGGTGAAACTTTGGACCCAGCCGAACAAAGAAACTAAAGCATGTCTGAGCTTAAATGAGGAGCATTTCCACATGATGTTTTGCAAGGCAATGAAAGGCCCTCGGCTGTTTGCAAATGTTCTCCTCTGAGCCCACATTTCTGTCCAGTAGGAAACAAACCTGAAGCAAGTCGGTTCTTGCCCTTCCGCTCTGTTATTGTGACATTGCCACAGGCTGAGAAAACCTGTTTGAAATACCAATGAGCTTTCAGAAGTGATATGCTGTGACCCCAAAAAGTATTTATTCACTTCAGTCGCTCACATAGATGTGTGAATTTCATTGCACTTACATAACAAAGAGATCACAGCAAGTGGCCGAAGGCCTCTATTCAAAAGATTGATTCGAATGTTGTTGTTTGTATTTATATTAATATATTTTACTTATAAATCAACTTACACTTTATTTTAAGGAGTCCTTCTTACAGTGTAATTATACATTTAAGTACTGAGTAATATTAAAGGGTTAGTTCACCCAAACATTGTGATGATTTACTCGCCCTCAAGCCTTCCTAGGTGTTTATGACTTCATACGTTTTTTAATATGGATATTTTTCTTACAAAAATGCATTGTTTTGCTTCAGAAGGCCTTTGTTAAGCCCCCGAAGCCGTGTGGATTACATTATGAAGGATGGGTGTACTTCTTTGGCCTTCAAAATCATGTCCTCTTTTCACTGCCATTATAAAGCTTGGAAGAGCCAGGGCGTATTTGTATTTAACTCCGATTCTATTCGTCTAAAAGAAGAAAGTCATATAAACCTAGGATGGCTTGAAGGCGAGTAAATCATGGGATAATTTTCCTTTTTGTGTGAACTTTCCCTTTAATTAACAACATGTACTTACTATAGGGTCATGATTAGGTTTGGTTTAGGGTAAGTTGTTTGAAATTATGCATAATTTATAGTAATTACTATAGAAAGTACATGTAACCTAACCTGTAAAAAAAACCTTTTCTGTTTATGCTATAATCTTTACCCTTTTGTGTATATGTTCAGTGCATAGTATTTAGACAAAAAACGATGTCTTGTTTGGGTTATATACCACCAACAACATATTATATTGATATTTATATTGAAGTATTTAGCATAACAATGCACGTGTTGAATATTAAAAAGACAACGAATAGCCTACACTTTAAAGCCTATCACGATTATTTATTTTGTGAAAAAAATGTTGCCGTTTCACTTTCACTCTGTTACTGTGGCACAACGTTGTAATTTAACTCGTATAAGCCCGTGTTACATTCTAGACTGATCGGATTATGATTCTGTTGACATGCGTAATTACGCATGGTAATGAGTGTAGTGCGCACGGGCGGGGCGGGGTCGCTCCAGCTGCGGTGGTCCACGGGGCTGATGCTGATGGATCCGGCTTGACAGAACAAGGTTATCCACCAGGAGAGAGAGAGCCCGTCCATTTTCCTCATCAGCTTCTCACTCCGCACGCTCGCGCCACGGAGCGCGTCCCCGGGACTCCGCTTCTCCGCGCACGGCAGACTCCAGGTTGCCGCGCCCAACAGATCCCGGGATGCGACCGATTCCTGCAGCTGGCTGGGATGCAATGCGCCTCAGAAGCTGAAATAATGTCATTTGACGGGAATAACGCCTCGCTGTCACTTTGCTAAGACGAGGAACGCGACGGGAGAGTCTCGAGGAGCAGCTTTTCATTTGCCGCACATAACCGGAAAAGTCATTTGCATGGATCTAATTAGCCTTTCCCGATCATTCACGTGTGAACTTTTTCCTCTGACCATGTGAATCTGGGAGAGAAAAAAAGATATTGTGTTTTATATGCAATGCATCACATTAGAGTGTTTTTCTAACATCTTCAGCACACACTGACTCGTTGAAGATGCAGATGCTGCTTTTAAGAACGATCTTTGTCATTGCAGGATGTCCACATGTTTTGTTGCACGGAGAAACCCGTGATGCACACACCAAAGAAACAGGCAGGGTTACTCTTAGGAGCCTTCATGATCCGAAAGCCAGCGGCACACACCCTGCGAGGCATCGAGCCGCAGGTACACCTGCCTTTGACATCAAACACACTTCAGGAGACGACAGGAACTGGTCCTCGCATCTCTGGAGTGCAGGTAAACCAGCTTACCTAAAAAATCTCATGTCGGCCACAGATAGTGGCACAAACCTACATAAGCGCTTGCGGCGACATAAAAGGAAAAAGTTGAATGGTGAGATGCCTGCTACCATGGGAACAGCAGATGGACACAATAACTCTAAGCCATATTCAATGAGCAAGAGAGGAGACCGCGAGAGAAACCACAGACGCAAAAGAGGCACAAAGGAACACCACAAGAAAGCGTTTAAGAGGGGCCCGAATAAAAGCACTGCCTCTTTGACACCAGTGGAAAGTTATTATAACGCCCTGACGTCCTCTTTAGCCCTGTGGGAACCGATGCCCAAGCCTCAAGCCCTCACCTCCACAGATTTCCCATTTGATCTCACCAGATATGCCGAATTCCACACCCAACAGATCGACGACCCATGGGACGCCACGCCAATGACCCCTCCGTACGCCGAGGACGAGGAGAGCGAATTCTTCCCCAATCCTTTCTACCCCGTCACCAGCGAGACGTATGGGGCATATGCCATCACTATCGTTTCGCTCCTTATTTTTGCTGTCGGAGTAACGGGGAACGTAGCAATAATGTGTGTCGTGTGCCATAACTACTACATGAGGAGTATCTCAAATGCTCTTCTGGCTAACCTGGCCATCTGGGACTTTGCACTGCTCTTGTTTTGCCTGCCTCTCGTGGTGTTTCACCAACTCACAAAGACCTGGCTGTTGGGCCAGTTCACCTGTAAAGTCATACCATATATTGAGGTAATGCATTGTGTTCGTTCATATTTTGTGGTACAAGCTAAGAGAAGCATCAACACTTAGCTCATATCTATAGTAAACCTTTTACACTTTCTCACTTTTCAACCCAACATTTTTTATTTAATGTTGTTCCAAACATTTCCTTCTCTTGTGGGATACAGGATGAGATATGTATATATATATGTAAATAGGGCTAAATGTAAGATTTATCCATTTGAATTGCATATAATATTTCCATCCATTTGGATGATAAACAAACTAGTAAACTTAATGTGATGCATATTTCTCAGGAATACATCAATGAAACAGGTCTGCCCTGGAAAAACCATGGTATAGTTTATCAGCACCTATTTGCATGTATTTGATTTTATTTGAATCGTATTTTCAACATGCACTCATTCAAATGACTGGGAATCAGCATAAATCTGTTCACATTTACTACCGTTTGAGAGTGTAAGGTTTGCTTTTTTTGAGGTATTGTGACACTGTGGGTAATCCTGCCTCGTGTGGAGAGACGTCATGTAAAGAGCATCCACCCTGCCCTCGGGACACCTGCACTGACCTCTGTCACACTCCCGTCACACACACACACACACACACACACACTGTACGGCGCAAACACAACCTGAGATCTGCAGCCGTCCTCATCTGCTCGCCACACCCAGTCTCAGCTCACTGTACGATACACAAACCTCAAATCACTGACAAATCCAGATTATATTTCACACCAAAATCAAATAGAAATTGCATGCATAATGTAAAATGATTGAAGCCTTTATCATTGCAACAACATAAAAGGGGTTACAAAAATATAAAACATAAATTTACACTTTTTCTTTTTCTACAAATCACTTTTCTTATGAATGGTTGCAGATATTTTGTATAAGTTTGAATTAATGTGTTATTCTTAATGATTTTAATTCGATTTTTGTTTTGTTTTATAATACAGTAATTTGCACACTAATACAATTATTTTAAATTAAAATTAGCATTCATTTAATGCATAAAGGCAGTACGTTGCAGTAATAAGAACACGTTTTTTTTTTTTCACTTTATAATAATCAGATTTAACAAGTAAAATGACATGAAAACAAAACCATAACTCAAATCATCTTAATGTTCCTCAAAAGAGGCTTCGTTTTCTTTAATCAAAATATGTCTTATTTTTTTCTTTTGAATTTAGGGGTGAAATATGACATTCTTGATGGTTTAACGTGATCAGACGACTCGTGGACGAAAAACAAATGAAATCGTGATGCTCAATATGGCATCAATGGAGTTTACAAGATAACGATGTACTAAACCCTGAAGCGTTTTTCTGTTGTATTTTTTCGTGTACAAAAAAATCCTCGTTCACACGGATTCACGAAAACGACTAAAAATGCTGTATTATGCGATCCAGGCCAGAAGATGGCGATGTCACTTTTTAAAGAAACATGCGCATGACGTCACTGTTTCTGTAGTTTACACATAACAGTATTGTTTACAAAAACTTGCACTTTAAAAACTGTTTGCGTTTTCTGGCCCGCAAAATAAATATATTGTTGGCCGTATCAAAGTTTTCGGCCTTTCTCCATTCAAGCAGATTGGAGCTGTACTGTACTCTGCTAAGGGGCGAAACAAGATGGCCACCGACTTGCCTTGAAGACACTTTTGTGAGATTCACTCATCCGTTTGCCTTAGAGAGTGAGGCTGTGTGAGTAGCCATTGTGAATGTGAAGGCCGTAAGGGGGATGTTGAGACGTTCGTGTGTGTTTTGGGAGGGAGAGCGGTGCGAATGCGGTGTCCTGGTGGCACACGCTGCGTTCCTGCTGTGATTGTATGGGACAGGCAGCGAGGGCCTGGAGGCTCGGCCTGACAATGGAGAAGCTGAATGAAAACAAGCCTGTGTGTGTGTGTGTGCAGCTACTGTATGAATGCGTTTAGGCTAAGTGGTGAGTAAAGTCAGTCTTAAGAGCAGATTGTGAGCGAGTGCTCCACTGGGAGCAAACGCCTCCGGCTACATTACTCAGACCAATGTAGCACACACACACACACACACACACACACACGCATGCAAGCTTAAAGGTGCAGTCTGTAAGAATAATAGCTAGTGGTCGAAATAGGTACTGCAGTTCAAATTCAAAATATAGGAGATCGTCGTTTCCCCGCCTCCTCAGACTCGACACTCACACGGGTTGCCAGTTTGAGGAAACGTAACAGGAACGAGCGCAATTGACAATGAGAGCCGAGGAGTCTTACACACACTGTAAGTTGATTTATCCGCGTTTTAATATTCTCTCGTTCATAGAGATTTTTAGGTTGATACTGAGACTTTTTAGGTTGGGTAGAATCTGCAATCTCTGACTCAGTGTCTTTGCTGGCTGCAATATGATGTTTACTGGCACCCCGGGGTGTCTATTATATATTAGAATAGATAATATTATTCACTGCTATACTATTGGGTGAACTGGCAGTGGGCGGAGTCACACAGACCAAAACAAAAACAGACATTCCAACACCGAAAGCACATTTCAAAGGAAAATAACAGGCTGTAGAAGTGTTTTTCAGAGAACAAGTATGTGAAGGCGTGATTTGCGGGTGGGACGGGTGGGACATGTCCCCACCACTTTTTGCTTAGGTCGATATTGTCCCCACTACTTTTGAAACATCTCGCTGCGCGAATGTACCAATACAAATAAATGAAACATCTCCAGTTAACCAGCAGAGCATTCAATTTGTTCATTTGTTAAATAAGAGGCGATCTAGCGCTGACATTTTTTATTTTTTATTTAAAAATTTTATCAACGTTGCCACTGCGATCAGTGGCGCGGATACTGTGTTCTCTTGTGGCTCGCACACAGTCTTCACTCGGACGCGCTCTTCAATCCGTTGTGGAGACTCTCTATTCGTTCCAAAACAAAATATACACAAACGTGTCCCTGCCTGATATACAACAACTGATAAACATAATCGGTTTTGATGAGAAGAAAAACCCCTATACGAGTCCGAACCCTGGACCATATCTTCTGCCACTAGACCAGAATACACACTTCAAATTGTTGAATATACAGGTGAAACTCAAAAAATTAGAATATCGTGCAAAAGTTCATTTATTTCAGTAATTCAACTTAAAAGGTGCAACTAGACTCATTACATGCAAAGCGAGATTTGTCAAGCCTTTATTTGTTACAATTTTGATGATTATGGCTTACAGCTTATGAAAACCCCAAAGTCAAGATTAGAATATTGTGAAAAGGTTTTCATAAGCTGTAAGCCATAATTATCAAAATTATAACAAATAAAGGCTTGAAATATCTCACTTTGCATGTAATGAGTCTATATATTAGTTTCACCTTTTAAGTTGAATTACTGAAATAAAGAAATTTTTGCAAGATATTCAAATTTTTTGAGTTTCACCTGTATGCATTTAGTCTCGCCGTTAGCAACACACACACACACACACACACACACACACACACACACACACACACCTGTCCCACCCACTTTTAATAACAAAGTTACGCCACTGATGTGAACTCAGCATGTTTCCTCAATATCTGCAAACATATGGTATTTGTTTTCTTTAAGCTGGAAGTCTGCATCCTATAGCGGACGCTCTTCACAGTGACGTCCCCTCACTGCTTGTCTCCTGCAGGGTGTTTTCAGGTGTATATTGTGGAGTTCAAGAAGTTCAGCCGGTGGAGCTTGTGTGATCATTGAGCTTGTTTTATCAGAGGTCGGACATTTCTTCCTAGGAAAGGTCGAGGGAATGCGTGTCGGTGCAGTGTTTTAACTTGACTTGTGTTTTGACTGGCCTTTAGCTTTTTGGAGATTGCATCAGTCACAACATTTGCAGGATCCTCGTCTCGTTTGAGCAAACATGAGCGAGACGCATCTGACAGCTTTCTGGCACAATATTAAAAGTCACACAGAACACTTTAGCAACTGCATGCCAAGCCTTGCATGATGATGATGATGATGATGATGATGAGGAGAAGGAGGAGGAGGAGGATGATGATGATGATGATGAGGAGGAGGATGAGGAGGAGGATGATGATGATGATGATGAGGATGATGATGATGAGGAGGAGGATGATGATGAGGAGGATGATGATGATGATGAGGAGGAGGATGATGATGATGAGGAGGATGATGATGAGGAGCAGGATGATGATGAGGAGGAGGAGGATGATGATGATGAGGAGGAGGATGATGATGAGGAGGATGATGATGATGATGAGGAGCAGGATGATGATGAGGAGGAGGAGGATGATGATGAGGAGGATGATGAGGATGATGATGAGGAGGAGGAGGAGGAGGATGATGAGGAGGAGGAGGAGAATGAGGATTAGGGTGATGAGGAGGAGGAGGATGATGAGGAGGAGGAGGATGATGATGATGAGGATGAGGAGGATGATGATGAGGAGGAGGAGGATGATGATGATGAGGAGGAGGAGGAGGAGGAGGAGGAGGATGATGATGATGAGGAGGAGGAGGAGGATGAGGATGATGGTGATGATGATGATGATGATGATGAATTTTAGACAAGCAAACAGCACTTACACTTTCTCCAGATTTTATTTTGGAGATATGATGAGGAGGAGGAGGATGAGGAGGAGGATGAGGAGGAGGATGATGATGATGAGGAGGGGGATGATGATGAGGAGGAGGAGGAGGAGGAGGAGGATGATGATGAGGAGGAGGAGGATGAGGATGAGGAGGATGAGGATGAGGAGGAGGAGGATGAGGAGGAGGATGATGATGATGAGGAGGAGGATGAGGAGGAGGATGAGGATGATGATGATGATGATGAGGAGGATGATGAGGAGGAGGAGGATGAGGATGATGATGATGAGGAGGAGGATGAGGAGGAGGATGAGGATGATGATGATGATGATGATGAGGAGGATGATGAGGAGGAGGAGGATGATGATGATGATGATGAGGAGGATGATGAGGAGGAGGAGGATGAGGATGATGATGATGAGGAGGATGATGAGGAGGAGGAGGAGGAGGATGAGGATGAGGATGATGGTGATGATGATGATGATGATGATGATGATGATGATGAATTTTAGACAAGCAAACAGCACTTACACTTTCTCCAGATTTTATTTTGGAGATATTTTATTGTATTACTCTATTTTTATTTATTTTTTTCCTATCAATTCTCCAAACCATTTTTCTTATGACTGGAGGGTTGTAGGTATTTTATTTTATTAATGTATTAATTCATTAATTTATTTATTTATTTTATCCAAATCACTTTTCCTATGAAGGGTTGTAGATATTTAATTTATTTATTTTTGCATTTTATTTCCTCCAAATCGCTTTTCCTGTGAAGGGTTGCAGTTTTTTTTTTTTTTGTCCAAATTGCTTTTCCGCAGGTATTTTATTTTATTATTTTATTTAATTTATCCATCTGTTTATTCTCCAAACCTCTTGTCCTGCATAGGGTTGTATAGGTAATTATATTTTATTTCAGTTTATTTTATTGTTTGGCTTGTTCACTGGTTTTTGTTGGCTTTTAATTTTATTAGTAACCCACTTTGTGTTTGTGTTTGATCCAGGCTGTTGACTCCCATCCTAACGGCCTGAATTTATGTAGCTGAATATATCATATATAACACTATTACTGTAATAGCTTTTGTTTCGAGCTCGCTCATGCTTCAGTGCCGTCTCATTTGTCAATATGTGAGAATTATTGCCCTCGCTGCTGGCAGTGGCCCAGAAACGGCCTCCAGGCTGAAAGTAGCCGTTAAACCAGATTAATAACCAGCACCTCCATCCTTCTAGAAAGCCTCTTAATCAGAGAATTAATGAGGCGTTAGTAAAGCCCATCTCAGCCAACACCATCATCTCCTGCGGCTGAAACCTGTAAGCTAGAAGACGCCTGCGAATGTCAGGTCAGGGTCGAGATCCGGACTGTTTGCCAGAGCGTGAGGTGTGTGTGTGTGATTTACTTGAAGTCACATGACCATCACATGTGTGTCAAATCATGATGAAATCAATCAAACGGAGCCATTGCTCTTGTTAATGCTCTTGCAAGTTGTGCGACATAAGAAGAGTTTGATGTCATAGGAAGCTTTATGGGCAGATGAAACGCATGCAGTAGTTTGAACAATAAAATAAAATAAAATTAGCCTACAAACCTTCACAGGACAAGCAGACTGGAGAATTAACAGATGTAAAAAAAAAAAAAAAAAAATTAAATATAATAAAACATATGCAAACCTTCAAAGGAAAAGAGATTTGGAGAAATAGAATAAAATAAAAAATTAAATATAATAAAATATCTGCAAACCTTCAAAGGAAAAGCAATTAAATATAATAAAATATCTGCAAACCTTCAAAGGAAAAGCGATTTGGAGAAATATAATAAAATAATAAACTAAATATAATAAAATATCTGCAACCCTTCATATTAAAAGCGATTTGGAGAAATATAAAAAAAATAATAAATTAAATATAATAAAATATATGTAAACCTTCATAGGAAAAGAGATTTGGAGAAATAGAATAAAATAATAAATTAGATATAATAAAATATCTGCAAACCTTCATATGAAAAGTGATTTGGAGAAATAGAATAAAATAAAAAATTAAATATAATAAAATATCTGCAAACCTTCATAGGAAAAGCGATTTGGAGAAATATAAAAAAAAAAAGAATAAATTAAATATAATAAAATATATGTTAACCTTTAGGAAAAGCGATTTGGAGAAATATAATAATATAATAAATTAAATATAATAAAATATCTGCAACCCTTCATAGGAAAAGCGATTTGGAGAAATATATTAAAAATATTAAATAAAATTTTATAAAATATATGCAAACCTTCATAGGAAAAGCGATTTGGAGAAATAAAATACATAAATAAATTAATTAATGAATTGAATAAAATAAAATATCTGCAACCCTTCATAGGAAAAGCGATTTGGAGAAAATAAAATAAAAATATTTATTAATGAATTCATTAATAAAATATAATATCTGCAACCGAAAAGTGATTTGGAGAAATACAATTAAAAAATATTTTAATTTATTTTAATTTATTTAATTGGTGGTGGTGGTGGTGGGGGGGGATTCTTGTTTTTGTTGTTTCTTTCAGTCAGGAAGCATCCCTCTCTGACCTGCTGTTGAGAATAAGCTCATCCTACAGAGTAAACGGAAGATCGTTCAGTGATGGCGCAGGGTGGATGTGTTTCACACCTATGGAAGTAATGCAGCACCATTACAGCATCTTAACGGACACAATGCTCCATAATGGATTCTGAACACTGTGCTTTTTATCAAAATGATGACGCATCTAACCAGTGTGCCTTTGGAGATGAAGAAGGCGGTCTGGTTTTCATCGCGAGCGCGTTCCGCTAATTGTCTCCTCCTCGATGCTGATGTGCCTGATTGCTCTGTAATTATGATAATGAAGACAAACACTTAGTTGCCTCTTTCACTTGTGTTTGTATGATCCGCTGGGATGCAGTTGCGAGAACGTGGCCAAGAATCTCTCCAGTCGTCTGCTGTTCATTGCTGTTGTTTCTTTTGTGTCGCCTCGGTAAATACTCTTTCACATCATCCAATTTATTGTGGCAATATTCACGGCGAATGCCCCGTTTGACAGTGGGAAGTGTGCGTTCAGAGGGTTTCAGGGCCGTTCTCTGTGCCGTGTGAATGAACGGCTCGGCTTGTCTGTCACGATAACACAGCAGAAGTCTGGAAATGTGAGAGCTGTTCTCGTTTTGCAATCCAGCTTTTATGCCGAACGACTAATAAGGAGACAGTTTCCAGCTGTAGGACTGAGTTCAGAGAGTTGCCAGACGATATTCAGACTTCCTTTTCAAGCAGTTTGTTTACGCCGCTGGCCTTACACACCTACTGACATGTAATGTAGCATCACACAAACAGGGCTGAAGTGATGGCAACATTTTAACAGCTGATATACCAGTCAAATGTAATATTGATCTCGGTGGCATTCCTGAAAATCAAAAATGAATTAATACATTCCTTTAAAAAAAAAGAAAATAAATGTTATCAATTAATCCCATTTTATCGCATATTAATTAAATTGAAACAATGTTAATGGAAATAAATCAATTCAACTCTTTTATATATTATTTATTTAATTTTTAAAAAATCTGAATTTTTATTTCAATTAATTTTTAAAAAATTATGTAGCCTACATGTATAGAAAAACATAAACGAAGGACTGTTTTCCATTATTTAAAGTTTAAATAAACAAACGTTAACTTGGTTAAATTGAAACGGTGTATATATAAATGAGTTAAATACAATTTTAAAAAGGCATTAAGCATTTTAATTTTTCAGACTTTTGAATTCATTTAAATTTATTAAATATATTAAATGGATAGTTAACCCAAAAGTTGTAATTCTGTCATCATTTATTTACCCTCATGTGTTTCCAAACCTGTATGAGTTTCTTTCATCTGTTGAACACAAAAGAAGATATTTTGAAGAATGTTGATGGACTCCATTGACTTCCATAGTCTTTTTTTTTTTTACATCTTTTAATTAATACATTTGAATGAATTAGGCTAATTTCTATATTGTCAACAGCACATTTAATGAGCCATCCGTGTTTGTGTTCTTGTATTTCCCCAGGTGGCGTCTCTCGGCGTGACCACCTTCACGCTCTGCGCTCTGTGCATCGACCGCTTCCGCGCCGCAACCAACGTCCAGATGTACTACGAGATGATCGAGAACTGCACCTCCACCGCCGCCAAACTAGCCGTCATCTGGATCGGCGCGTTACTCCTCGCCCTCCCCGAGCTCCTGATTCGCCAGCTGGTGTCGGAAAACGGCGACGGCGCGTTAGCATCAGAGCGCTGCCTAATCCGTATCTCCACTTCCCTCCCCGATACGCTATACGTTCTCGGCTTGACGTACGAAGGCGCGCGTTTGTGGTGGTGTTTCGGCTGCTACTTCTGCCTGCCGACGCTCTTCACCATCGGGAGTTCGGTTGCGACGGCCCGACGGATCCGACGTGCCGAGCGCGGCTGCGCAAGAGGCAACAAGAAGCAAATCCGATTGGAAAGCCAAATGAACTGCACCGTCGTGGCGCTAGCCATCGTGTACGGGGCGTGTGTGGTGCCGGAGAACGTGTGCAACATGGTTTCGGCGTACATGGCGGCCGGGGTCCCGCAGAGCACCATGGCTCTGTTGCACTTGATCAGTCAGTTGCTGCTGTTCTTACGGGCCGCCGTGACGCCGGTCCTGTTGCTCTGCTTGTGCCGACCCTTCGGACGGGCTTTCCTCGAGTGTTGCTGTTTCTGCTGTGGGATCTCGACACACTCCTCGGCCACCGCGAGCGACGACAACGAGCACGAGTGCACGACTGAACTGGAGCTGTCGCCGTTCAGCACGATCCGCCGAGAGATGTCCAACTACACCGCGACTGGATCCCACTGTTGAGTCCGACACCCTGTTCAACACAACCAGGGGCGCCGCTAGCAAGTTTAGGCCCTGTGAAAATTAGGGCTGCACGATAATCGCAATTAGCATGAAACCGATTTGGCTTATCGCGATTTTTAAATCATTATTTGTTATGTGCAGCTTGTCAGTGAAGCACGGCTCTGTAAACGCGGCTCCGTCTGAAAGCGTTTCTTATAACGTGCGTTTGAAAAAGCAACACGCGTCAAACATGAGAAGCATTTATGAACCTCTTGTCCAACAAAAGACAACATTTAATAACATGATTTTACTCCAAACTCACTTCATAACGACAGTTGAGCATCTTTCTGTGAGATGATGTGCTTCTTACACAGAATAAGGCAGTCGTGTGTTTATTATTCATGTTTAATCAAAGCGTTTCAATCTTCTGTTTATTCAGTTACAGCGATGATGCGCGATAGGGGTTTCCTGGAATGATGTGTGTTATCGTACTTCTGCGGCGGGGCATATTTGGCGTGTGTGTGTGTGTGTGTGTGAGACACCCTCTGGCTTTTACTACTGAGCATTTACTACTGATAACAGTCGCGCCGCACTGACAAGCTGCGCATTAAATAATCGCAGCCTTTGCCAAATCGCTTGCGGTTTAATTCCGATTAATCGTGCAGCCCTAATAATAATAATTTGTTACATTTATATAGCGCTTTTCTGGGTACTCAAAGCTTTACTCCTCAAACACCACCAATGTGACGCACCACCTGGATGATGCAACGGCAGCCATTTTGTGCCAGAACGCCCACCACACACCAGAGTGATTAAGCCAATCATTACACTCTAAAAAATGCAGGGTTGTTTTAACCCAAATTTGGGTCAAATATGAACAAACCCAACTGTTGGGTTAAACATTCAACCCAACGACTGGGGTTGTCCATTTTCAAACCAAATTTGGGTTAAAACAACCCTGCATTTTTTAGAGTGTATATATGGGGATGATTAGGAGGCCATGATGGACAGAGTCCAATGGGCATATTTGGCCTGGATGTCGGGGTTACACTCTTACTATTTTTCCGAAGAACATCCTTGGATTTTTAATGACCACAGAGAGTCAGGACCTCGGTTTAAAGTCTCATCCGAAGGACGGGGCTCTTTGACGGTATAGTGTCCCCATCACTCTACAGGGGCGTTATAATGAGCACCCCCTGCTGGCCTGAATAACACCTCTTCCAGAAACCCTGCTTAGCTTCAGTGGGCGACCAGTCTTGGGCTACTGGGTGACATGGCTCCTGGACAATATGAGGTTCCTATATCGCACCCACTCCATTAATAAAATCAATCTCTTTGGGGCTCCAAAAGCGTGTGGGCCCTTAACATCGTCCTAACTTTCACCCCCTTAGCGGCGCCTCTGACCACAAGCACATGTTTTTGTCTCACCTGTGTAAATACTGTGACCACGACCACGTTGCTCTTTTAAAGAAAGTCATGTAGACTGAAAGTTATGTAATTACTTTTTTTTCTTTTTTTTTTTATAATTGTCCTTAATATATATATATATATATATATATATATAAATATATATACACTGAACTAGTGACTGCTTTAATTTTGCAGTTTGTTTGCACTGCCAACCACTTTAGCTTTCTCTCTCCGCTCTGTTTTCACACTACACCGTGTCTACACTGGAAGCCGTCGACCGTGAGTTGCACTAAAAGCGTCGATCACGAACCACAGACAGACCAATCACGCGCACGCTTGAGGGTAGACGCAAAGTGACGTTAAATCAATCTACAGAATGTAAAACACTATTTTATTTTTAACAAAAATCCATCTTTTTATCATTTTTATTATTTATTTGAATTTTGAAATTTTTGAATTTTTAAACATTTTAAACGGTAAACATTACATTTATTTCTTTTTAGTGACTTTACCTAGTTTATTTGCATTTCATGTTACTGCCAAAAGTTATTTAAATTTGTAACGAATTAAGGAAATTCATAGCAAAAAAAAAACACATTTGATATTGTTAATAAAATATTTATAAGTGGAAAATACTGGGTTTCCACAACTTTTGACAAATGAATTACAATTATTTTACACTAATTTATAATTGTATCAATTTGAACAAAAATGCTACTTTTATTTTTGCCAACTTTACTTTTATATTATTTTAATACATTTATTTTATTTAGTTTTAATTACTTTTTTTAATATATTTTTTTTATTTTCATAAAAAAAATCCATTGGTAAAAAAAACAAATAGGTTATTTGTATTTCACATAACTGCCAAAAGTTATTTAAATATGTGATGAATTAATGAAATTCATAGCGCAAAAAAAAAAAAAAAAAGTTGTCAAAGTTTTGACAAATGCAATTTTACAGTAATTTACCATTTTAACATAAACATGTTTTAAACAATTTAAAGTTGTGCATCACTATAAATAATTCTATTCACTATTGGACTTTTTAAGATTTGACCTGAAAATCACAGATCTTTATAGATTTTCCATGAAAATAAGGAACGCTCTGCTAAAGTTCAGATAGTTCGCTTGATTTAAGGGATCTGTCTCGTTCTGCCGCGTCGAGCGCGTCCGGTGTCGTCACGGTGTTCCTGTCGCACGGTGAGTTTCTGCATTTATTGAAAGTAACATTTCTCTAATGTTTGTAAATGGCTGTGTGTTGCGTGCCGTGACCTTTCTCTTGATGAAGGTGATTCTTGTGAATCGTTCTTGAAGTCTGTATAGAGCAGATGTGTGGGTAACGATCTGTATGTGTCTTACACCTGTGAACACCCACACCATGCTCGTTCTAGTTAACGGTTTCTAAACGTTTTTATATAACCAAAACGAAATGTCTCTTTAATAAACGGAAAACGTTTGCTAGAAGGATGGCAAACTGATCAATTAAAATGCCAGTGTGGTTGCGTGCATTTCTTTTGTAGCCTGTGCTCATTCTGAACTGGCTTTTGTGTTTCCAGGAAGATAATTCTGAATACAAACAGTGTTTTGCTTGACTAAAGTCTCCAACATGTTCCTCTAAGCAGTCACACTGGTTTCCCCGTGCATTATTCAAGGCCCGCCGCACACATCCGTCCCCTCATGTGTCTGAGGAATTGTTTATCCACATAAAAGCATTAGCTGTCAGGCTGCACATTGAACAGGCCCAGATGAGATCTTACTCAGAGCTGGTCTTTTGTATTTCAAATGCATTTGAGGTGTCAGATACGGAGCAAGCTGCTATTTTGGGGACGTTTCGTGGGTAGATAGTGACAGACAGCAACGATTTACATATGAAAATGTTTCACTAGAAATGACACGCTTTGATTATTTTAAAAATGTTCACCTACTCATGTTATATCTCAATCGTGCCTGTTTCTGGAGAGCTTTGAACATTTGCACGTCTTGCTAAAACGGATGAATCTCACAAAAATCATGGGTCACAGTCGGCCCCCGAAACCAAGATCAAAAACAAATGATTTTGCATATAAAGTGAGGCCTATTTTTGGACCATTTAGATTTTTTTGCAGAACATTTCCCTTCAAATGCTCATTAATGCAATGTGTGTATTGTCTTACTTTTCTGTCTTTTTGTTTGTTTGATTTTGATTCTCATTCTCAATAGTGTTTTTAATTACTGGACTACAGGACAAAACAATGTAATCCAATGATCTTTTTATTTAAATCAGCATAAATTAAAGCTATGTGCCACCAGCATCACCAAATGGATTTTAAACCAATAGAATTTAGGACCAGCTTCTATCATTGGTCGAACAAACAGATAGTCTCACGCCATTGGCTGAGCCAGTGTTCCAGTGTCAGTCTGGTCAAGATGCTCAAAGAAACAACCACTTGTTTATTGAATTTGATTTGAAATCAAACAACAAATGATTTAAGCAATTTCCTGTGGTAAAATATAGCCTCGTTCAAACTGTCCGTTGAAATCCAATTTTTGTGCATATCCGATTGAAATGACCATGGTATCAGCGGCGGGATAATCCACGGATAGCTGTGCATTTAATGCCCGACGTGAAGTGTGAAGAGTTTACTTGTTTAATTAAAAGGCACCAGAATACATGAAATGGCATTTAGTCCAGTAACAGTTTTCTGGGGGGGGACCCACCCACTTTTTTTTTTTTTTTTGCTTCCGACGCCAATGACAGAAGGGGTTGAAATTGGACAAAAGAGACTGATTCGATCCGATCAACCAAACGCATATTAATACCAGGTGTAAACAGGGCCAAAATGTCCTTTGTTCACAGATTTCTGTCTTCTGATCAGATGAACTTGTCGCGACTCGTCCACAGTGGAGACTGATCTGCCATATTTCACTGGTAATTGTCCAGGAACAGCATGACGTCTATCATTACAGTGTCTCCATCAAACCCCCCTGCCCCGCAGAAGCCATTGGCTATTGTATAACCCCATTATCCGGGAGTCCTGGTCTCCTTCAGACGGTCCAATAATAACAGCTGCAACAAAGCAAGTTATAAGAAAGATGTGTGCCGTTTTCTTCCAGGGCTCCTTATGGCTTTAAACCAGCCCTGTCTGAGAGGAACAGGTGTGTTTTGTCTATTTTAATGAGGTTTTTGAGAAACTGCCAGGAATGAGACCTTGTTAGGTTGCAGTGGATGTCTGCAGTCGTCTTCGTGTTCATGGTAATGTGTTCGGCCGGGGCTGAGAGCAAAGCACACGTACTCAGGCGGAAACAGCTCTTCTCTTCCCATCACTGTCAAGACAGTGCTGTATCTCAAACAGAATCGCCTCTTATTATATTCTCTTTTGTATTCTGTGAGCACCTGCCTATTGTCAATAAGTTATTTAAATGATTTTTTTCATTTACATTTGGCTGATGCATTCCAGACGGATGGCCTTGCTAGCGATGTACTCATAAAACAAGTCAAGTTTTATCAAACGGCATCGTTGCATACAAAGACAATATACTCGATCTGTTTGTAACAATGAACAAAAAGGGTTTTTACAGTTATGAACTTTAAATGTTGCAATGGATTAAACATACATAAAATAAACGAGGAGGAAAAAGGCAAAATATAGCCACAATATTCAAACACTTTGTGTAATAAGACTATAGTGTGAGATAATCACTTACTAAACAAAACTTAAACAAAAACAGATTCAGTATTCCTCAAAATAAACAAAAACAGTGAAACAATCTCAGAATAATGCAAACCTC